TGTAGAACCACTGTCTTGGATGGTGACTCTCAAACTTTTTTCTTTTAATCGTTTTATTGGGGGCTCGTACAACTCTTACCACAATCCATACATCCATCATTGTATCAAGCACGTTTGTACATTTGTTGCCCTCATCATTCTCAAAACATTTGCTTTCTACTATAAGCTCCTCATTTTTCCCTTCCCTCTCCCCACTCCCTCATGAACCCTTGATAATTTATAAATTATTACTATTTTGTCATCTTACACTGTCCAACATTTCTCTTCACCCACTTTTCTGTTGTCCGTCCCCCAGGGAGGAGGTCATACGTAGACTCTTAAACTTTTAAGACTCAATGCTACCTACCAATATAGGACGTAGAACATCGTCCTTGAGGACCTGTTAGGCCAGTAGACCTTCGGTCCTCAACTCTCAAGCCCAGTGACATTCCCTCCCAAAATCTAGTCATGGGCAGCAGTCTTCAGAACCTGCCCCTGTGTGTTCTAGTATATACCTGGATATAATTGCAGCAGTACCAACACATGTAGAAATATCCTCATTGGACCTTTATGTGCACTCCCATATGCCATCCCATACCTGTTCAGCTTTAGGGAACTACCTAAGTATCACTCGTAAATGATTAGTTTGTTATTACTGTTATTGCAGGTTGGGTATGTAATAGCATTAGCCACTGTTATTGCCTTTGACTCTTCGCATACCTCCTAATGCACTCCTTTGCTCTGTCATGTTGTGCCAACCTCTCCCAGGGGCTGTGCTGCCTTGCCTTCATCCAAGATAATACTCTTACTTGGCAGTTCCTGGTTTCCCTTGCCTCCGCTCTTACCCCCAGTAACCTTCAAAAGATGTTTTTCTTTGGAAAACCTTGTGACGTTTAGTCTCATATTTGCCCATTTGTGGTCTAGCCATTTCAGGTGATAGTAATTACATTCTCCAGGTACATTTCTAGAAGCTTCAGCTCTCCCCAAACAAACTTAGTGTCCCTTCGGCAGTAACACTCGCTGTCCCCGCCCCTGCCAGTTCCCTGACAGCCTCGTTTTCTTTTTGCTTGCCAACATGCTCAATTGAGGCGCCCCGGAGAACGCACGAGCTGCTGTGTGGGAAAAAAGAAGTGGCAGTCTGCTCTGCCAAGATGTATAGCCTTGTGAACCCTCTGGGCAGTTCTCCTTGCTCTGCAGTCAGTATGGGTGGGGATTGACTTGATGGCAGTGTCGGGGTGCAGGTTTAGCATAGGGTTGGGGTGAGTCTGGGTTTGGGGTATTTGCTTGACACTTCTGTTCTTGACTTTGTGCTGAATTTAGTTAATTTATACCCATTTCTTAGTTTATGCAGGAACTGTGTGTTTTGGGATCTATAAGTGTTTTTTGTTTTTTTTAATCATTTTATTAGGGGCTCATACAACTCATCACAATCCATACACACATCAATTGTATAAAGTGCATTTGTACATTCATTGCCCTCATCATTCTCAAAACATTTCCTCTCCACTTAAACCCCCGGCATTAGGTCCTCATTTTTCCCCTC